TATATATATATATATATATATATATATATATAACAATTATCTTATAATGTAATACTCTTTTTTTATTTTATTTTTGATCAAATAAATGCAGCCTTGGCGAGAATAAGAGATTTCCTTCAAAATGTCCAAAATGTTTTTTTGTTTGTCTTATTCATTCAGGACCAAATGATTTGTACATCACATAATTAAGATGGGTTTTGGTGAAATCTTAATATTTTACTATTAAAATATTCAGACATATTACTGATATTTCTTTTGAAATATTAATATTGATAATAAAAGTATAAAATTAACATAATCATAGTAGGAAAATATAAGTATGTATAAGTAGCAGAAAAATCTATAATTTCTATAATACTGTCTAGAAGAAATAATTGAGAAATTAAAAGGATTCCAATGGCTCTCTCTCCATCTTCCTCCTCCGTTCCTTTTTGTTCCAGAACACACATTATTTTCTATAAGAGAATTAACGGCACAGTGTCTTGTTTGTATCATCTTAAGCTTTGTGCTCATGGACACAATATGCTTGTTTTTAGAATGAACACTCCTACACAGAGCACCAGGTAGGAGTGTGAACATCCATATTCACAAACACGCACAAACATATTGGACCATGCAGTTCCATACTGTAATGTGTGCTAATGCTATTTTTGCACGCCCACAAACAAATGTATTCACATTTACAAGCAAATACACAAATCGCAACACGTTCAAACACAAGCACACTAACAATCGCGCACATTTGGACTCGCACACCACATGCTTTTATCCAGCCACCATCACAGATGTTCAGGAGTGCTTGACATGATGGCAGTCTGATGAAAGGGAAAAATAGTCATCCGACTGAACCGCAGATGAAAGGAAAGAGAGAAAGTGTGTGTGTGGGGGGGCGGAGTGTGAAAGAAAAAGAAAGTGCAAATGGGAACTGGTGGAAAGAGCTACTTTAGACCTGTGGACGTTGTTTAAGTCACTTCTGTATGCAGAATGATTCGTATAACTGCGGTTGGGGGTTTAGGACCATTTGTTCCTGACAGAAAATGAAGTTTATTAAAGTCATGCACACTCACACACAAACAAGAAATGCACACTTAAGAACACACAAGCAAAACAATCCAGCTTGCACTTCTCTTGGAATGAAAATATAGACTTGTTAAAGACCTTGTTTTGGTCCATTTAGCCGAGGGGGGGGGGAAATACATATATGCTAAGAAGTGTATTATTTTATGCCAAATTTAAAAGACATGGACTAAAGGCCCCTGACCAAAAAAGTCAGGTTAAAGCTGTTGAACATTTAAGTCAAATATAATATCATATAAATAATTTTTCCCACAAACAAAACAATTAATAAAAAGTAAATACATTTAATTAAAATAAATAAATAATAACAACAATTAAAATTTAAAAAAATTTATTAATTTTTTTTTATCCACACACACAAAGAAGTAGAAGATGAAGAAAAAAATCTTAATTTTAACAATTATACTTTTACCACAAATAATAATAATAATAATAATAATAATCATCAT